GACTTGGCGTTGATTTTGGTGGTTGGGTGACAACTGTGTGGATTACACATGCGAACGTGCTCACGAAGGGACATATGGAAGCAGATCATACGGCTGCTCAGATGGCTGAGTAAAGCCTGGTGTATTCTTTATTCTTGCAAGGAAGCGAGAAACTTTTATTGCGGGCGTTGGGCAGCATAAGGCATACAATTATGACCGTGTTAATATTCAGCAAAATGACATTCTCGCATGGACTCTGAAACTATGATCAATCTCGTGGTATGATATCTGCAAGCTGAATATGCATCCGAGGGGGCTGGCTGTCACGGTGCCCAGAGCTTCCATCTTTTATCCGATGGTGTATCCGTACATGAGATTGAGAGGTCGGGTAGCCCTTTGCTGGGGTTGTGTCATGCTCGTTGACGAGGCAACCGCTCCCAACGCTTTGACTGTACCTGCTAGGATCCGACGCGGTCGTGCACCTAGGCAATAGGTAGTTAACGCGCTGGACCCTTGTCACTCTCCAAATTTCCCGAAGGTAACCTCCAACAGTATCCAGGAGCTGCCAAACCATTTACCAATTTCTTGACTCGGACTCGCGAAACGATATTTCCTTTGTCCTGGGTTGGATTCCGCGATCTCCTTCGTCTGCGACTACTTTCAGAATGGGTGCTAACGACAGCACTGAGAGCCGCAAGCGCAGTCGTGCTACACCAGCGAAACCAGACCATAATATCCAATCGAGCTTCAAGAAACGGAAGCTAGACGCCAACGGCAACCCTATTGTCGCCTCTTCTCCGACAACACCCAAAACTACTCCCGGGGTCAATTCTTCTGCTGCAAAGAAGTCCGCTCGGAGTAAGATCGCATCTTCGCCCGTCTCAGCCTACGATGTGCCAGACTCCCCCGAAGACAACCCGCCACGTCGAATCCGCAACGTCAGGAGCGTTGACCGACCGACTGCCAAGGTTCCGATTCCGCCTCGCCGCAATGTCGACGATGACATTTACGATATTCCCCTCTCCGACGACGAGTTACATTCGAGCCCGAAGGAGGTGAATTCGCAGAGGACAAGCCCTACGAAGAGAAAGAGCAGCGTCGTGGTCGTCGAAGATGTGGGCGAGGTCAACGGAGGGGAGACAGTCGAGAAGCCCCTTCTTCGGAAGGGCAAGAACAACAAAGTGATGGGCCAGGATGAAAAGGTTGCTTCGACGGAAGAGTCATCCTCGCAGATACGAGCCAGCGGACGACGCAGAACTCTGACTGCGAAAGCCCTTGAGCATGTGGAAAAGGTTGCGAGCCGCTCTGCTACTCCGACTGTTCACCTGAGATCTTCCGCCGCTGTGGATGAAGTCCCGAAATCCAAGAAGGCCACGGGGAAGGTGAATCGCAATGTCTCTATGCCTCTCAAAGGTATTCTGACGCCGTCCAAGCGGGACGGTACGCCGAGGCGAAGTAAGAGCGTAGCATTTGACTCTACCAGTGCTTTGGCTCAAGAGGAGGTGTTTTTCGAAGACCTCCCGACCAAGTCGGCGAGCAAAACGGGGAGAAATCGGAAACCATCACAAAAGGTGGTCGAAGCTAAAGTAGTAGTGGCGAAGACCGCGAAGTCACGAAAGGCGCCCCCGAAAGTCGTTGATGAGGAGCCACAGGAGGAGGAAGAGCCGGAATCAGATGTTGAGCCACAGCAAGAAGAGGAACCGGTAGCAGAAGCGTCAGAGGAAGAAGAGGAGGAAGACGAGGACGTCTGTTCGATATGTACAAAGCCCGATTCCAAGCCTGGAAACAGAATCCTATTCTGTGATGGCTGCGATAAGGCGTTCCATCAGAAATGCTACAAAGTCCCAAAGGTTCCCCGGGGAGACTGGTTCTGCAACGACTGTATAGGGCAGAAGCAGTCGCGCGCGGTGGCCGCAGATGAGGCGGTGAAGACTCCCAATTTCGCGCAACATCTGAGCAAACTGCAAAGAGTGCTATTAGACCGATGTACGGGTCGCCGCCGTATCAAGCTGATTGACCAAGATGATGCTTACGACAAGGCGCATCAGCTGGTAGAGCAGACGGTACTGGCTGGGGAGGGCAATTCCATGCTCGTTATAGGGGCTCGGGGTTGCGGCAAGACCACGGTAAGTCGCAAAGCCAATTACCCTACAGTGGGGCCATTCTAACATACAGTAGCTCATCGAAAGCATAGTCGACGACCTGTCTTTGCAGCATAAGAAGGAATTCCACGTTGTAAGACTAAACGGGTTCATTCACACCGACGACAAGCTCGCTCTCAAGGAGATTTGGCGGCAATTGGGCAAAGAGATGGAGGCGGAGGACGAGGCTAACGCTCGGGTTTGTATCCCTATCACTCTGACTAAAAAGAGAAGAAACTGACAGTACGGCAGTCAAATTATGCCGATACGATGGCTTCGCTACTTGCGCTGCTATCTCACCCGTCAGAAATGGCACAGGCGGAGGAGGGCGTGACTTCGCAAGCAGTTGTCTTCGTCATTGATGAGTTTGACATGTTTGCAGCACATCCCCGCCAAACGCTGCTTTACAATCTGTTTGATATTGCACAGGCACGAAAAGCCCCTATTGCAGTGCTGGGTTGCACGACTCGGATGGACGTAGTAGAAACGCTGGAAAAGCGCGTCAAGAGTCGTTTCAGCCACCGCTACGTATACATGTCTCTCCCAAAGAGTTTGCCTGCGTACTGGAAAGTATGCAAGCAGGGCCTCTGCGTGGACGACGAGGACATGGACGTTGAGGGCATCGACGCCAGTGTTGACGGGCACGAAGCTTTCCACGCAAATTGGAAGGCTATGATTGAGGTATGTTTCTGACGCAGATTGCAAAAGGCGGTTTGGATACTGACTCACCTTTTGATAGGTTCTATACAAAGAAAAGGCATTCCAAAGTCTTTTGCAATACCACTACGCGACAACGAAATCCGCCTCGGCGTTCCTATCAACGTGTATTCTTCCCCTTTCCGCGCTCTCGCCTACATCACTAGACCTAGTCATCCCACCAACGCCAAGCGGTGCGGTCGTCTCCCTGACGCCGCCAAACTCCAAGCTTCACCTTTTGTCGTCGCTCTCGGAGCTTGACTTGGGCCTACTCATCGCAGCAGCGCGACTCGACATTGTCGCACACACAGACACGGTCAACTTTGCGATGGCGTACGACGAGTACGGCTCGCTGATGGGCCGGCAGCGCGTGCAGTCGGCCAGCTCGGGCCTGCTGGCCCTGGGCGGCGGCGTGCGGGTGTGGGGCCGCGGTGTGGCTGGTCTTGCGTGGGAGAGGCTCGTTGCCTTGGGGCTATTGGTGCCGGCGGGTCTCGGGACGGGTCGGGCTTCGGGGTACGGCGGGTTGGAGGGAAAGATGTGGAAGGTGGATATGGCGCTGGAGGAGATTCCGGCGGGGTTGAAGTTGAACAACGTGTTGGCGCGGTGGTGTAAGGAGATTTGAGTCTGGGAATCACGCTTCAATGAGGCCTCGATTTACGTATCGGAGGCATGATGACATGGCCAGGGGCGTATAGGCTATGGCAATACAATAGTCATCAGCCACTACGGGGATTTCATAATATTCCCCCTCTTGGGACCTGTGGTAGGTACTGTCACAGTAAGGTAGCTTAACAAAGAGGTATCACTATTATTTCTCGCACTTAATGCTCATCCGCAAAGGTCATGCGGCCAGATAACAAGTCTACAAAAGTATTGATCTGTTATCGCCACATCGATTTAGAACCATCTTGAAGGGAGAAAGTTTGTCCCCCTAGTGCACTCTCGTCACGTCTGCCTGGCAGGCTTCCATCCAAGCCTTGTGTTGCCTGCTAAACCCGGACGCCCGCCCGGCCCCGCTTTTCCCGGGCCGAGAACTCGAGCGAACTATGCCCCCCGCCCGTGTGTGAGCCTGGACCACCGCTGCTAGCCTCGCGGCGAAGCAACAGTCACAGTCAGCTCCCACCAGTTGACCGCAACCAATAAGGGGGGGGGGGGGGGGGGGGGGGGGTAAGATGATGCCGAATCGAGTAATAAGAAGACATACACTTTGTTACCAACAAGTGTCTCCACATCCCACTTTCCAGACCCTAATTTGGGGGCTTAGACGCAGTGTGACCAATTGTCCCAAGTGTAACCTGGTAAACGTCGATCCCGGGGTCCTGGTTCTAGTAATCCGCCGAGCCCTCGACCAGACGACCTACGCCGCGATAACCAGCATCACTGAGGGAGACCAACACATGCGACCATACCCACTGGAGAACTCGGGATCCCGTCCGCTCTCCCATTGATAAACCAGCGAGGGCCAGAGTAGTAGTCGGGTCGGAGACGACCGGCGAATGCCTGGTGTTGCATGTTTTTTTTATGGGGGGGGGGGGGTTGTCCATGTTCAGATTCTGGTAGTCTCGAGACTAGCACGAGGGCGTTGGTGCTGCGTGAGTGTGTGCTCATGTGTGTGTGAAAGAGAGAGAGAGAGAGAGAAGGTGTGACTGAGAGATGCGAAAGAGAGAGTGTGGTGTGTGTGTGGAAACAACCAGTCATCACCGTGCCACCGCCCGAGGCAGAGGAAGGAAGAGGGGAGGGGGCGCCGCGGGGCCGGGGATCACTCAGCCCCGGTCCGAAGGTAACTCTACCGCGGACCCGGAACCGGATTCTTCAACAAGACCAAAGCAGGTCTCAGCCCTATGTGCTTGGGGGCCATGGATTGATTGGCTTGGGCGCGTCTGCGAACCAACAAGCGTCCTTACACTCCAGGGTGATAGGGCTGAGTTGCCAAGTCTTGCGTGGGGGGGAGGGGGCGTTCCGGTGCGCTACGGCGATAGCCTAGTCTTCGAAGGCAACGACTAGTCTTTGAAGATATGCCTTATGACCTTGTTGTTTTTTTCGTATTGGAGGGGGAGGGGGGATCGTCTATTCACACCGGGGGTTTTTGGCCTCTGTCCCTATTGCTAGCGGGAGAAAAGGCCCCCTGTTTGCAATCCTGATTAGGAAGTATTTCGGTGTGATATGATTACCCCGTCATGAAGTCTGGAAAGTGACGAATTGGTATTGAATGTGATATCGTTTGCCTTGGATGACATCAAGTCCTAGGCTTCTCTTGCCTTGTTGCCGTGCCTGGTGACTCAAAGTCTACGAGTCGTGCGGCTCGGTCCTTCGAAGATGGCTATAAAGCTCCCGGTTCCAATCAGTGGCCGAGGAAATATTTGAAGCCTCAAGACATTAAACCAAAGCCTCTTTCTCTCTCTTTCCCTCGGACATTCTCTCTTCTTTCTAAGAGGTTGAGTTATCGACATCGTCTAGTCACAAACATCATCTAATTACATACATCATCGAGTCTTACGCATCATCGAGTCAAACAAGTCCAGACTCTAGACACTTAGATCTACCTCACCAAATCCATCCATCATGGCGTCCTCACTCACCGAGAAACCCACCACCACCCAACAATCCACAATCCAAATACCAGATTTCCTAGCAGACTGGCGTCAAACCGCAAGCTGGCCATCCCCGTACCCCCCAACCCGCCACCCAGACTCCGACTACATCAAATCCGAATCCGAAAGCTGGCTACGAAGCTACTGCTGCACTTCTTCCACCAACCCAAACTCCATCAACAAGGGCATCAACGACCTCTTCATCTCCAAAATCATCGCCGGCGACTTCCCCGAAATCGCATGCCTCATCTACGCCCATCAACCCACTCGCCACGTCCTCCTCGCCGCGCTCGTCATGCTCCACTTCTTTGTCATTGACGAGTTTACGGACAATGTCGAGAATACGGTGGACGGCGAGCGGCAGGTGAGGAGGCAGTCTGCCGCCATGGTCCGCGCGTTTCGGCATCCCGAGGAGATCGAGGTCTCCTCGGCCACGGGGGAATATAAAGAAGTGTGGGTTGGCGTCCGGATGGCGGCCGACATTGCGCTGCGCTACCGCAGCGACGCGGTAGGCGGCACATCCGACTCGTGGGATTTCTTTGTGGATAGTTTTGCAGAGTACCTCGACGGCGTGGGCGACGAGGTGGCGCTCCGGAGGAAGGTGGACGGGAAGGGCGAAGAGTGCGTGCCGAGCCGGGAGGGGTACATTGCCGTTCGGCGCCTTACCATCGGTGTCTTGCCGGGCATGGCGCTCCTCCTCATCGACCGCGCGATCCGTCCCAACTTTTTGCAGATTCCTGCCGTGGATTCGCTGTTGCGTCTCTGCGTCGACATCATCATCAACCAGAACGATATCTACAGCTTCGATAAAGAGCAGGCCAAGGGGGAGGACGGGCATAACGGTGTAAGGGTCCTCATGGAGGAGGACGGGGTTGGTGTGCAGGAGGCCATGACGAAGTTGGGACAGGAGACAAAGGTACTAGTGAGGGACTTCGTGGGCTTGGTTGAGGATTCCCCGACGTTGGAGAACGAGGTTGATGGTACGAATTTGAGAATCTTGCGGGACGGGTGCGTTTCGTGGATCTTGGGGATGGAAGTTTGGTCTACGCTGGTTACGAAGCGGTATGGGATGCAGAGGTTGGATGGGGAGAGAAGGTATACGCCTACACCGAAGAAGGTAAAGGCGCAGGTGAAGGAGCAGGAGCAGCAGCAAAAGGAGCAAAGGCAACAAGCACCGCTGGCTCGGGAGGGTATGATGAGTTTGATGAGGAAGTTGCCGGGAGATTTGATGTCTCTGCTGAGGAGGATTCTTGGTATGTAGAGCGATCTGACGTTATTGGTCGGCGTTGTGATGTAAAAGAATTGCCCTGTCTAGAAAATCTGAGTTTAGTGTATATGATCTCCGTCATTGAATGGTATTTGAAAGACGACATGAGCTCAGCCCCAGCCTCAGATCTAGAGACAAGACTTGATCCAGATCAAAACCACCACACGAGGGCGGAGCCAGCGCCACACCCGTCACACCCGTGATAAACACGCCCAGATCTCACGCGACGATGAAAGAAGTTGTTATGTATATATGTCTTGAACAAATTGAAAAAGAAAGAAAAAAAGATATGGGGTATCGAGTTTGTATGACTAACACAAAAAGGCCTAGGCCAAAACGACGGGAACACCAGCACGATGGTGACAAAGGCACAACACACACACACACACACACACACACACAAAGCAGCCACCTCCCCCTCTCCCGAAATCTCACTCCAGCTCAGCAACAAAGGGCCCTTGCAGAGTTGCGCCACTGTTCTGCTGACACTCATTCCGCTGCTGACCAGCATCGCCTCCCGCTCTCCCACCCGCGTACGGCGACGGAGGCAAAGGTTTCGCGTCGTAGGCGTCAAGGCCGCCCATGAAGTTGGCCTGAGCAGCATAACCGTTAGCGAGGACGGCGATGGACGGCTGTGATTTGATATCCGGCCACGATGGTTTCTGTTGATGATGATGATGATGATGATGATGATGAGACGTCGAGGTTGCGCCTGGGGTAGTGCGGCGGACGCGGAGAGGTTCCGGGTAGGCGTTTAGTGAGTTTGCAGAGCCGTCGCTGGCTGGTGGTGTTGGTGCTGGCGTCGGTGCGATTGCAGGGTTGTGATGTGAGGGTCTATACGGGAGACTGATCTGATTGCCGAGGGCGTTGTTGGTGTAAGCCGGATTCGGGTACATTTGATGCTGCGACTGCGATGCGCTGTTGCCGCTGGAGCCGGACCTGACAGATCCCGATAGTGAGTTTTGGCTGCCGTGCCGTTGATGTGCGGCGGCGATGACTGTGCGGTGGACCTTTGACTTGAGACGGTCGACCAGCAGACCGTGGCTCTTTTTCAGCGTCTTTTTGACAAACGACGTGGTGAAGACGTTGCAGCGCATGTCGACGTCTTCGCGGATGTAGAGGCCCGTAAGCGGGGCGCCGATGCCGAGCTCAACGGGCTCGACGGGTTCTCCGGGCAGGGAGCCGGCGACGGTCCACTTGTCGCGGATCTCGAGGCCCATGGGCGCGTAGCAGTGGGTCTGCAGGCCGGTGGGCAGGTCGTGGAAACAGCAGGTGTAGCTGACGTTGCCCGTGGCCAGGCCGCCGGGCAGGTAGGAGATTTCATCGGTGAGGGAGTACCAGGCGCATGCGTGCTCTTCGGGAGGGGCGTTGGCGGGGGCGGTGATGAGGTGACGCTCTTTGATGAGGGGGTTCAGGTCAATCATCTCAATGTGGTTGTGTAGGAAGGCGAGGACGGCATCACGACTGATTCCCGGGGGTAGGGGGGAGATTGTGGTGAAAGTTGTGCGTTTTGACATGGTTGGCGAAGAGAGATAGGTTGGCGGGCGGAGAGGGGAGTTTGACGGTCTAGATCCGTGTGAGCGACCCCATGTGCAGGAGGTCTGTACCCAGAGACGAGAGTTGACCGTTGAGGATGCGAGGTGAGTTTAAGGTTGCTAAGGTTTAGTTTTTGGGAGAGAAACAGCTCTATTGCCGAACCTGATGTGGGATGGAGCAAGAACTAAAAGTAGAATAGATTTGGTGAACTGGAGTCGGTTGAGCAGGTCGGTAGATTGTTCCAGGAACTTGAGTTGAAATTTTTTAAATAAAATAAAAATAAAAAAAGAGAGAAAAGTTGAGTTGCAGTAATTGGTAGTTCGAAGCCGGGAGGTGTTGAAATGGGGACTTGCGAAAAGAAACCCCAGGTTATGCGGTCGAAGAGGAAGTGATGCGTTGTGGTTCGGAGGCAGTGCCAGCTTGGCACGGAGACGGAGGACGGAGGCGCAGAGGGCGGCCGGGTGAGGAGGGCTCCGTGAGGCGTAGCTGTGCGTGGTGGGCGGTGGGCGGTGGTAGCACGGTGAAGCCCGAACTACTAGTATCCGTCGGTACCAGGTATTATGTATCCCCTTGAGCTGGGTTCCCTGTCGGAAAGGGTTGGAGCCGGTAAAGAGACAGGGCTCTGGGGAAGGAAAGCAGGACAAGGATTACCGTGAAGAGCAGGGTTGGCGATGAGGAAGTGAAATATCCGTAGGAAGAAACAAGAAGGGATATTATTAAGGAGTACACCAAACAAGGACAGGTAGGTGAGTGATGTAAGGTTGGTAATTTATTTTGGGAATGAGTTCGTGAGAGATTTGAGGGAAACAAGATTGACGCTGGGATGATGTTTAGGTAGGGGATAGGTAGCTTAGGTATAGTTGACCGTAAACCAACGATGATTGATCAAGAACAGCGTCAGTAAGAACGAAAGAGAAAGACCAATTAGTGAAAGAAGCGGCGGAGAGCGGGTAAGAAGGAAGTGATGCCAGTCTGTCTAGTACTTGTAGTCCCATGTCATGTCGTAAAAGATGCGGTCAACCTCCCAGTTGTACCAGCTTCGGAGGGATACACAAATTGGAGAAAAAAATAACCAAAACCCATCAGCCGGACGGACCCCTGCATACCTTACCTCATACATTTGGCTGAACTGAGGTCTTCGTACTTCTGTATCCGTCCCCGAGTCGTCGGGGGGCACGGGATGGATTGGGATGGCATGGGGGGAGGAGAAGCATGGGCGGCCGCCGCCCTCTCTCTCGCACGCACACACACACACAAAGTACAACAAGGGGAGTCAGTGGACAGTTCTCTGTGCTGCCACTAAAACCAAGGCAGCTGCGCTCAAGAGGAGAAACCGCTGGCTCGGCTCGGACGTTTCTCTTGTCATTTCTGTCGTCCCATTCAGCTCAGCCCCCCATCTCGAAACTATGAGCCAGACTCAGAGACAAACAGATCATGCGGCTGATGTGTCCCACTGGAAGTTTCCAAAAAGACATTTTCTTCGGTACGGAGTAGTGGTCCTGGGGGAGAGGAAGATGGAGAAAAAGGCTGATCTGGGTTTCTCGGCACATGGCTAACTCGGATCGATGACAGATGACAGTGGCACCTGGAAGACCCAGACACTCAAAACTCAAAGGGAAAAGGAAGAACCACACCCCAAGGTTCAAACCCCCCCCCCCGTGTGCGGAATTCAACCCGCCGCAACGTGGCGGCGGGCGGCCGCCGGGTTCCCAGACTTGTGGGACCACCCTGTACCCGAAAGACTCAAAGACTGAAAAGTAACGAGATGGGAGCTGCCATTGGGCCCGATGCAAGATTCCCAAGTTACAACACTAAGACAGACGTCCCGAGCTGCAGGACCTTTCCGTAACGACCGTAGAGCCCACGTACGGATACATGGCCAAAGTACTCCTTAGCTACACCATTACAACCACGCGTGCGGCTTGCATGCTCTCACCTTTCTCCATCTTTCGCAACTGCGAGCGAATACGAGAACAATGGGATTCTTGAGAAAACGCCTCTTGTCCCCCATACAACAAGGAGAGGTAAGGAGACGATGCATGGCCATGTGCGGACTCGGAAAGGATCCAATGAGGTCCAGACTTTTGTAGATGATGCCAGGTACCTTGGTTGTAAGAAAACCCTCTTTTGGGGGAGCGGCCGGCTTACATCTCTTGGCACGCGGCCGCCCGAGGAACGTCACCCCCCAACGTCGTCCAAAGTTCTCCCTTGAGCTACCACAAACTACCCGAGGCGGCCGCCTGCGCTTGGCGCTTCCATTCCTTACTAACCAGTATTAACCACCCAACTAACACACTGGAAACTCAAAAAGCCCACAAACCAAGCTGACAACTGCATTTGACCATGCCCATTTGCTATTTGGCCCTCATGCGCAATATTGGAAGCGGTGAACTTCGAATACACATACCTATCCTCCTACATGCTCTCAGGCCGTCACCAAAACTCAAACCCATGGCCTGCTATGATGATCAAAGGTTTCACGACCCCATCATCCCGCCAGATCAACCGTAACCCCCGGCCAACCCCCCTGCCACCTGTCTCCTGAAGATCGCCTAATTATGTATCTCCGGCCAAAAGGGATCATACTCTATCTTATTCAGCACGTGTTTCTCTGCGATGTCGTGACATCGTGACATCATCTACTCTATGTCTCTATCCATTATCCGCTACATGGTAACAGTCTACCCAACCTCTGTCCTTCACCCCTGCCTTTTGACCGGGGGCATGGGTACACCGCAAACAAATGTTCAGGGTGGCTATGGGGAAAGAGGAAGGAAGTGATGCTCAAAGTCCCTGATCATCTGCATGTCAACCTTCTCCCCCGCGTCAAACGACGTTACGGCCGTTACACGGCTATCAGATTCCAAACAACACCATCAACCACCACACCACAAAGCGGTTTAGACTTCCGACTAGAGCCTGACAACAGACCAAAAATCAAGGGAGTCCGCTTCCTCACAATACACTTAGATACCGGTAGCCCACACCATAGTCTACCAAATTCGCTCCATCTGACGCTATCCAACACACGCACACACGCTACCCTCATGATCACTAGACATAAAATCCCACATAATCGCCCCAGCACACATCTAACCCTTCAAGATAGAAATACTGCCCGCCGACCTCGTATTGTTCTTCGTCCTACTTGTTATATCATAAGCAGACTGCATGGCCTTGATTCCAAACAAGCAAACCCACGACCCCGGAACAAACTTGACAAAAAGTAGCGTAGACATCGGGCCGGATCGTCTTTCCTAGCGCCGCACCAAAGAAAGTAACCTGGTCCAACGTATTCACCCGTTTTCCAATCTACGTGCGCCTACAAGTCATTCTTTTGGCACGTCTGCTGTACTTCGTGGACCATGCATGGCAAACACGCCCTACGAACCCTGAGACGACGCAAAGTTCATGTGGCGCCAAGCCGTGGAACCAGATGTGGAAATGAGATCGTCAAGAGGCGTTGAACTTTCAGTAGGATATCAATTCCTTTGCCTTTGACTAGCCGAGTGTGATAATCAGTCTTTCTGTTGATGGGCGATCATCCCATGCATCGAAATGCAACCTCTTGAGCGGAGCTTGCTCAAGAAAGACGTTTGCGCCCATACAACACGAAAAACAAGGAGCAAAAAGAAAGAGATTAAAGAATAGAAGAAGGGAGTCAAATCGACTTGAACTCGCGACCTTTTACGTCTGGTCTGCCCTTAACTTTTCTAAAAAAAAAAAAAAAAAAAAAAAAAAAAAAAAAAAGGTATTTATGTGAATACGCAGACCTCGCATCGTAAACATCAACCGTCACCAGAATTACTACACTTTTGGTCGCCATGTATCACTCTGCCAGTCTAACATTGCAATTTTCATTACTACACCACATTCTACTATATCATTCTACTTATCTCGCATGGTATTGAGCATTAGTTCTGAGGCAACTCCTGCGGCTCTCGCTGCACTCTTCTTTCCTCCTGCTCCACCAACAACATCTTCTTGACTCTTCTCATCTTGACATGGTGATATGCAATCTCACGTTGTATGACCCATTACCCTCATAGTCATTCGCACAGAGCGTCCAGTTTTCCCGAAACGACGATACCAGTCACCTCGCCTCCCATCTTTTGACACTCTAACGCTTCACGGTGCTGCAATTAACGGGCGTGGCTGCCGGATGATACGTTGCCAGACTGAAATTCAAGTTTGCGTGCCGTGCGCCGTTCTGCGGGCCTCTCGGCGCAGGGGACACGTCCTTGTATCCGACGTCAAATACGGTCCGGTCGTCCTCGTTGTAAAAGGCGCGAACAGGACCAGATTCCGGGGTGGCGCGAGTGAAACTCTTTGGCGCTGATCCGTTTTGCGGGCTCGTAGAGGAGCGACTGATGCGGGAAAAGATGCCCATGATGAAGACTTGATAAACGCCGTTACTTTGCGGAAAGGGAAACAAACAAGGCGAATTATACGAGAGTAGTCGTTGCAGAGGGCTGCGAAAGACTTGATGGATTTGTAAAATCTACAACCACCAGGATTGAAGCAAAGTAGGTATGAGGATGCCCTGTCTTGAAATTAATGATGGGTGCTACAGTCTCCTAGACATGGTTCTCACGATGAAACGGTTACCAGTACCAGGTCAAGTACTAAATCGATGGGGATTTACTTGGATAACCCGTCCTCAACGCATTAGCAAGAGTGTTGATGTTGGACGGACCGTGAACATGAGGCCATCACCACCAGCTGGCGCACCTCGTGCGACCAAATGGTCTTTGAAGAACCAACAAGGTCAAATTTATGTGACTCGTCATCTTGAAGAGCTTGGCTCCTGCCGTTGATGTATTGAAATAGCAACCGCGAAACGAACTCCGTCCGCCGAGGCAGGGGAATACAGGTAGGCTTCACTTCCGCGCGCGCCTGCTTGCCCGCTCAAGCGCCGTGCAGCTGCGTCAGCGAATACAAACATACATAGATATCTTCAGCTACTAGATAGAGCCAGAGTAAAGAGGCAGTGTTGAAACTCAATGATCAACTCCAGTCATGTTGGTTGCTGGGCGCTTAAGTCTGGGTTTAACCAGTCGCGTACGCCCGGAAAAGCAGGGTCTGGAGGTTGGCCTCCCGACTTCAATGTTCGTCCCGGGATAATCACTACACTCTTCCTCTTCTCTTCTCTAATTTCCGAATTTGTATCAGGAATCATCAGAGCGGAACGCCGTTAAGAAATATCAATTCTGTTGCTGTTTGGGAAGTCTGTCACCCGTTCGAACAGTGTTCGCGACCCCTGAGATTAGATCACCACCACCTTTTTCGTTGGCCATCACCGCCACACGGCTTAGACATGGAAGAGAAGGCCGCAACAGATGAAAACATCTTACGTCAAATGGAGCGTTTGAAGAAACTAGATCTTTCGGTTGTTGAGGTTCAGATTCTTGATATTCTAGCCTACGACATTCGAGCGGCCACTTGGGAGACTGCTACAGAGGCTGCATCTTCCTTGGACACCCTGTGCCCCCGTCTAGAGCAACGCAAAGAGGCAGAGAGCTACTTTTATGTCATTTGGGACCTCATGACAGATATCGCTACCAGTTTCGACGTGACAAAAGAGACGCAAGATCATCTCATCGGCATCCTTTTAGCATTGCAGCAATGTGCGAAAGGTGAAATCGACATTTGGGGTGTAAGTGTGCTTCGTTGCTCAGTGAGGGTTCAGGATATGCATCTCATGACTAACCATTTGAAACTTGATAGAACGAAGCAGACAGACAACGTGTTTGGAAAGACCTACCATTGTTATACATAGCCGTCGAGGCTTCCCTTAGCGGTGAGTTACCACTTTACTCCTGCCGTCACTCGTGAAGGGACTCGGTCTTGTCAGACCTGGTGGGCCAAGGCGAGATAGACCCAACCTAAGAATCCACCACAGAAAGCTTCACCACAAAGGACGCGCAGGAATGGCGCAACATCAACAGGTTCTGCGCCCTCTTGCTGGGAAGCGGCGTCTTGGGCCTCCGCACGCAGGCAATGGACGCATTGCGCTCGGCGCGAGGTCTCTCCTCTGGTGGGTACAAGAGAATATTGGCAATCTGGAGATGCCAGAGTATGAGAGAGACTTGACGGAGGAAGCGATATCATATCAAGGGGTCCTGTACAAGGGTCCACCGATCATGTGTCGGCAGCGGTGGGAGTTTTGGATGGGTCGGTTCGAGTGGTTTGCGAAGAGCGAGGATGCTGGGTTGGGTGAGGAGATGAGGACCGCGGCGCTTGAGGCGTTTGAGATTGTGATGGAGGTTGGAGACCGGATATGGCACACGCTTTGATGATGTTGCCATATGCTTAGCTTCCTTTTTCTGAGTATCATTGAAGTTGCCTCTAGATTCACAGAACAGCTCAGATGCACGAAAGAACAGGAATTCTGTGAAGAAGCCGAAGGCTGTACAACGTCCGAGTGAAGCCATATCTCATAGAAGTTTCCCTGCTGATTGTCATTCCTCTTCCACTTGCTTATCGTCCGAGTGAGGTCTGAAGATCATCCGAGTGACGATGATGCTCTACTTGGTTCTGTACACATTACAAGACTACTAAACGACTGTCATTGAGCCAAAGCACTTTACTCTCGGCCATGATTGCTTTACCTGTCTTGTTCTTTCCACAAGGGGGCCAATGAAACACCTGATGCTTACTACCATAGTCGTAGAGCAAATTCTATGGAATCTTTCTCTTGTTAAGCATCCAAGGTGGGTTTGGTGGTCATCAGCATTTGCTGCTGGGCATTGCCGGATGCCCAGGACCCTTCACGAGACAGTGGAAGTTGTGGAGTCAACATTCTGTGAGCCGGCCATGAATTCAGTTTGCGCAGTCTTACTTTGAAAGTAGCAGCTCATTCTATCAAACAGCGGCTGTTTGCTTCGTGCTAACTACTTAGAGCGCAATAATACCTTCCATGGCCGAGTAACGTGCAGGCCCTAATCTACTGCCGAATCCCCTTGCGACTGTATTAGCTGTGTAACAGATGGCGGACGTCAAATCTCACACTCACTCATCCCTTGGTATTATCAGCCGAATCTTTGGGTTGATTCGAAAAGCTAGAGCTGATCAAAAGGCAACATTTTCTGCTCCGATGACTATCGCGAGACACCATCACCAACCTTACCATGCAAGCCTCTTCTTGGAAGGCAGAGAGGTATCTGCAAGCCAAGCATATATAATTACACCACATTGGCCCAGAAATTCTACGTCGATATGAACATGCTCAGTCCCGGGGCGTCGACATCAGCGTGACATCAACGTATCCCCAAAACTTGTCTCGAAAATTCTCCGTGATTCCTGCGCATCAAGAGAGCGGGAAGCAAGACAAGGGGTCCCGCCTTTTTCTCTTGTTATTTTACCCCTCTCCCCCATTTTCCTGCGACACGATACATAACATACAACGACCATGCATTAGCATGAACCTATTGATCCCAAGTTTTTTCTTCCTGGTTCCAATCGGAGGTTTTCTTCCAACAAGAAATGAAGGGAAATAAGAGGACCTATGAACGGTGTATGGTGAACCGTTGGACTGGAACCCAACCCAACCCACACCCAAACCCAGCCAAATATTCCCACCCCTTCCTTCTCTTCGTGACCTTGGCAAGGGAAAGAAAACTTTGTGGGACGGCAAGTATGTTCGCCGTTGTACCGCGCGCGCCGTCTCTCCGGGATACTTGTCCCGCTCTCTTGCTTTTACCCCTCTCTCCAATCTCACCAGAAACTAGGACGAACATGGACAAGGGGCGGCGATTGCGTGCGCGATATCGAATAGCCGGGCTTATATCAAATCATCGTCGTCGTCATGCTCACCCTTCCCTCCCTGGAAATCCATGTGCTAGTCATTCAAAAAATATTTCATATGCTGGCAGGCGGAGGAAAAAAAAGTATACTGTGTAGTACAAGTACAGTCCATCTATATCATAAGCAGATCCCATATTCCCCGTACCTTAAGCATCCATTCCTATAACTCCCGGTATGCCAGCTTTTTCTATATTCTTTAAGCGGATACCTTTGTCCCAAATATTCCTGTTGGTCGTCTTATCATTTCTGTGTGCATATATAATCCTGTTGCCGTTGTTGCCATGTCGTGCGTGTGTGTTCCATCCCTCCTTTGTCCGTCTCTGTTTCCCACCTTATCATCATTCATGATTTATGTTCTTGGCGTTTCTACCTCATCGTCATGTCGCCACGACTTCGTTTTCCATGCCCTCCTCATAATTTTCCTGTGGTTATCATGTTGTTCGTCAGAGACAACGCTACCGAGCTTGACCGTTCGTTTCGTCGTTGACACCAAGTGCCATGTAAAGAAAGGTACAACAAGGAAAGTACCACGGATATCCGTGACTGGAACTCGGCGACTGGTTTTGTTCGTAAACCAAAGCTAGTTCACTGTCCATATTCCGACCATATCGTCCTCAGGCCGAGGACATGGATGTGGACTGGAAAACGTGAGGAAGAGAAGAAGAGAAGTGAACCAAGATGAGAGTGAAAGAAAAGAGAGAAGAATGAGGAAAGGAGAGAGAAAATGGGGGGCAGAGTCAAAAATCCTCATCCATCAAACACCGATACCAGAAGAAGGCACAACACGCAAACACCCAGAGGGCACGCATGCTATGCCCGCCCGCGATCTGCGCCATATCGATCTGTCCGGACGGATGCCCCGCCCTGGCCCTTGCCGCCGCCTCTTCTCGTCTCCGCTCCTCGTCCGCGAACCTCACTCGGCTATACGGATCCTGAGACGGGGCGTACGTCGGCGGCGGTTGCCGCACTTGCTGCTGCGAGGGCTGCCGCTTCACCGACTCGGTTCCGGCCACGGCCGTAGCGTCCGTCCCCGCCGTGTTAGCCGTGCCTGCGGTGCCTGCCGTTCCGGGAGCCTGCGGCGTCACCATCTCCATCATGGGGATACGCCGCGGCTGTTGCGCCGTATACGGGGTCGGCGTCGGTTGACGTGGTAGCGGCGGTGGGTGCGTTGGTGCCCCCCCTCCTACTCCAGCTCCGGCGCCAGTTGGAACCGAGCCTCGGGCCCCTCCTCCTCCTCCCCCGCCCCCGCCTCCTCCGTCTGATGAGGAAGAATAGGACGAATAGTTGGAATAGATGGAAAAGGAGCTACGGTGAGGGTGTTGTCGACCAAGAACGCCAGAGCTTGCTCGGACACTGGCTCGTTCACTGTTGCGGACTCGTCCGTTGTAGTTGAACTCCCGAACAGGACGCTCGCCGCCGTTGTTGGGAGCTGGGAGCTCGGCTGCTCCTGCTCCTCGCGCAAGACCTCCCAGTCCTGTTACGCCCTGCGGTCGTTGCTGTTGCTCTTGCATCTGCTGGCTATGTTGCTTCTGCAGCTCCTGAAGCTCCTGCAGCTGCAGCGCCGGACGCTCCATCTCTGGCGGGGAGTACACTTTGGAGGATAACATCTTTGATGGGGGTATATGTGATCCAAGGAGGAAGAAAGAGGAGTAAGGTCATCGCAGGCCTTGCCAAAGGACAGCTACTTGCGACTTACCCTTTTCTTGATAGGGCAGGATAAACCGTACGTTGGGCCACAAAGTTCAAGTGACGTCGAAGGGGGAATGGGGGGTAAGGGAATCTGTATCAAACAACCAAACTGGAGCCCCTACTGACTCGGCACCAGATGACGCTCAGGGCAGGATGCACTCAACGTCCAGCTTTCTCCGACGACGTATGACGAGCACGACGGCCACTTGCGCGTACGTATGCGGAGGCCCCGGATAACCATGGGAAAGAGGATCTCGTGTTGAACACCACAGGCAAAATGACAAACGGCGAAGACAGGATGTTGGTGACAACGCATACACGCGGGGTTGGTGGAAGAAAGGCAGGGCTGGTGATGATGGCTAATACGCACAACTTTGACAGGTTTGTCCCCCGAAGCTCCCGTCGACGAACTGAACGACGTGCCCGCGCATACCGAACCCATTTCTCTCTTTCCAGCCACTCCCGCCTTTCCGTCCATACTTTCTTCTGCTTCTTTGCTGAGCCTCACTCGGGATGCTGGTCCGGCGGTGCACGGTGAAGCATTGAGACAGCCCCCCCCCCCCCCCCCCCCCCCTCCTCCTCTTCTGACCTATGAACGAGACCCCAGATTGACTTTGGACTTGCTTGGCTCAAGCTTTACCCTCGCAGCCTTGGCCCGCGGTTCTGAGGCGGGATTATGTTTCTTGCGGTCTCCTCGACTTGCCCCCCTCCCCCTCCCCCTCCAAGGCGTGTACAAGGGGCGGCTGAGCATTACCCGTACGTCATCGGGAGGAATAAGAAAGACGGAAAGAAAAGTACGGTAAAGAGTCTTGGAGTCCAAGTTGCCTCCCAAGGGTCCGAGGGTCCTAGTTGTTTCCACGCAGCGTAACGTCCCTGTCTCAATGACACCTTTCATAGTTTGACGTGCCGTTTCTCGGTTGCGTCTACTGTACCTTGGGTGAGGGGAGGTAGGTAATAGTAGCATTAGTAACTAGCATCCCGTCCCGTGTGCGTGCTTATCTACAACAAGATGTGTGTGGGTGTATGGTATGTATGTGCATGCCTTGCCTGTGATATGTGTAAGATCATCCCGCCAACACAGTGTAGAGATATACGACAAAAAAGAGGGAAGCCAAAAAGCCTAGATCCTTGCCCGTACTATACAAAAAAGAACAGCATAAAGTCTTGGCCGACTTGAGATTTCTCAGGAACCGCCCGGCAATCCAAATGTTTCGTGCCTCCGCCGTTGTCTCGTATGTATGGCAAACGCACCACGCGCCCGCCGATTTTGCCCCCCTGTTTCGTTCTCTCACTCGGGAAAAGCGCAGACCGCACGCAGTAGGCAACGATGTTGGCGTCCGGCGGGGCTCTGGGGAAATCGGGGGACACCCGGCCGATGTCAACGATGTGCCGGCCGGGCGAATCCTACAAAGGCGATCGTATACACCGTCGGCGTCGGCTTCGTTCTTGTTCGGTTTCGGAATGTGGGGTCTCTCTCACTCTCTAGCAGGTCCGTTCTCCTCGTCCACGGGTTCTAGCTGTTGCTGCAGCATTTCACCTTTTACCCGTGCTTCCTCCCAATCCTTCATCCTTCTTTTGCCACTTGGGTCGAGTCAGTCGCGACATGTCATCATCAGAACTCTGCAGTACGTCCAAAACCATGGCTTGCTTTCCGACGGGATGAGAATTAAGCCCCCCCCTCCCAAGGGGTTTTTAATCAATGATGTCGCCGGCGGCCGAACCGGCGATTGGAAATTTCGGAAAGGATTCCGCCAAGGTTCACGGCCTCGGCCGCCCGCCGCTCGATTCTTCATGGCGTCTAAAGTCTGCACAATGCTCGGACGTCTCTGTAGAAGGGGGAGGCAGGCACTAGCTAGCTGTCGTCCAACGTCGCAAGGCAGATAATTCGGCAACATGGTGCGGCACGACGTTCGAGATAGTCTTGACAAGTTGACACGACCAGAGCGATGTGGTAGTTCGTTCATCCCCCTCCGCCCCCCCCACGGAAGATGACCGACAACTTGGACGCTAGGAAACGTAGTCTACGGAGAAGGACTTAATTTTCTGCACTACGGAATTACCTTAGTTCGGTTTCTTCTTCGAGTCTTCGACCGAACAATAGCTTTCTTTCCTCCATGTCGGCTGGGAGCGTGGGGCCCCTTCTTTTCCCCCCCTCTGAACTGCCGATACGCCGAGTGCGCAAAGAGCGACGTGAACTGAACCTGCGGGCAACGCTCGTCCCGGCAGACAGGAAAAGGGAAAAAAAAGGAGGGTGGAAAAGAGCGGTCACGGGCCATGCAAACGGGAAGTGTGGCTATCGTCGCATTGCCTTTAGATCCGGGGCATCTCCTTGTTTTTTCCCTTTTCTCCGCACACACACATACACACACACTCACACCCCCCGGCTGTTGCTGATCAAGCAAATCGCTGGCGCTGTCGATCCGGTGCTTGTTCGGCAACCGTACGGATTCACACGCAAATCGAACGGCATCTCAGAGCAGAGTAAGGGAGGGGTGGAGGAGAGGAGAGAGACCCGTGTCTCTCTCGGATCGAATCCCTAGAATGCCTTATGCGCCGTTGAGTTCGTTTTCCGATTGGACAAACCCGCAGGAAAAAAAAAGGACTAAACCAAAATCCGGGAGAGAGAGAGAGAGAGCCACGCACATGCGTGCCAACTAAACCCCGACATCTCGATCAGATGGCGGACTTTCGCTGCCCACTACACACCAGTGACACGGAATCCGGACATGTTCGCCTCTACCATTTCCCTCTGAGCCACGTGAACGTCTCAGTCTGTGAGTACCTCATGTGGGATCAGATAATCAGGCCATTGGGGCTGCAAAGTGTATCAAAGCAGCAGCAAGAAACAGCAGATCAGAACGGGCACGCGTTTGATTTTGTTTCCTCTAGCGGGCAGCCGAGGCTAATGTAATGTATACCCAACGCAGACAGAACACCACTTGTGCTCCTTCTAGGGGGCTGACTATCCACGCGGTGGGAAGACTGCAGGGCCCGGTTGCTGGCCTTCTACAACCCAGACGCGGCCTTGTTAATCTTAACATTACGTGGTTACCTGAATGATAGACTTGTGAGAAGAGATGGTTAGATTTGGCACGGCCGAACACTGGTCTGGACTCTGATAGCCGGCGTCATAAACTAGTCTAGAAGCGAACACAACTTCAACCCAAGACTGCGGTTTCGCAGCTCCCCCAAGCCCCCCCTTCCAGAGGACTCTTCCTACTAGGTGCCAGGACAAGAGGAGGGTTTGTGATGGTTCTCTAGTGAACCTCATGGTCCCACGCCAAAGCCTTCTATTCGAAAGACGGACAAGGGGAAAAAAATGGGGGGAGGGTTTGTCCCAAGATGCGTGGATGCTACTACACGGTTAGCTCGCACCCAGAAGAGCGGAACCTGTCTTTGCCAGTCTCTGGGCATGGCATGGCACGGCATGGCTTTCCTCCAGTAACCTGTCAAGCAGCGCGCCGTGGAGAATAGTTCGCCACAGACTAAATTCGTTCATGTCATTGTGAGACTCGGGCACCACATGCCTTCAAGCCACGACGTGGGAAGAAATCTATTTGTGTGTCTGTTGTGGTAGGTAGGTAGGTAGGTAGGTATTCCTCACACCGAGATGGGGGAGCAGAGCAGAGGAGAAGCGTAAGATGGCATCTTTCCGTCCATTTTAGTCAACAGGAAAAGGCAACAAGTGGTGACGCCCAATATCGCCGGTCATACGGAAGTGAGAGACGAAGTGTCTTCCAGCCACGTGAAAAAGAGGTAGGACGACAGGAACCGCGGCGCCCACGCTACCCAACATCAATATTGAGGCTCCTCCCTCATTACCGGGAAAACCAACACACATTCTCTCTGGTGATCCCGGGTAGTTGCCACATCCTGTTTGGAAGTGTGATACTGCATACTGGCAGCTAGACTATATACGTAATTTGGTAAAACGCTGCTGGAGGAAGAGAGGAGGGGAGAGAGGCTGACCGGAACCGGTCTAGGGAGCGTACATCATAGTACAGCATTGGGTGTGTCACAACACAAAAACCTGCCAAAGAATGTTCGGAAATGTAAGACAAGAACGGCACGCACACGCACACACCGGGGGATTCTGTATCGAAACAAAGCAGAGCAAAGCAAAGGAAAGCCTAGCCCAGTCCAGCCCACCGGCAAACCGTTTGTTTTATGGTACTTGCCGCGAGGCTCAGCTTCCGTTGCATAACACTCTTGCTACCCAAACTCGGTCAAACATCACCAGTTGCCGCTGGGCAGGCTGAAAAAGACAAAGTCCATCCATCCTAACTTGAGTCTTTCCGAATCAGACGAGGCTTTGAAGGGAAAGAAATCTGAGGCGGACGGGACGACCCAGCCGGCGGAATCATTTCCTGGCGAAGACATTTCGTGCTGTCTGCCGGGCTGAGCTATATACACCCCGTTGTAACAATCCAGCGACAAAACCAGCGTCCGCGAGACCGAACATTGATGAGAGGCTGCAATCTACCAGAGATTGGACAAGACCTGTAGTTGAAAATGTCCCGGTAGTTGAGGGTTTGGAGGGTGGCTCCAGTTGCCGTTAGCCATGGCTCGGTAGCTGTCAGCCATTGCGCGCGCAACTTTTGGTTTCCCTAATTAAAAGAGACAAAACCCTGGCGGTGGCAGTAACCCTTGGAGAATAGAGATTTCTTCTGCACCCCCCTTGTTGCCATGGGATTAAGCTCAACCTTCTATTGGCATTCTAGAACTTGGATAGAACCCCCCTTCCGTCAAATTGACGGGCCCTTGAAAAGTTGACGGGGACCTGACGGGGGGCTCGGGAGCCACGTAAATGCGGGTTCTCGGATGAGATCATGAGCGTTTGATGAAAAGCCCCTTCCAGCCTTTCCCTCACCGTCACCCCCAATTTGTGAGCTTTCTTCAATGAAACGAAACCCCTTCTACATAGTTCCCGAACGGAGCCTTGGAGCCTGGAGGGACGAGAATACATGGATCCCGGCAACCAAGTTCAAACAAGACTGGGAAATGAGGTCGGGCAGTTCAAGGTAGACAAACCCCACGTCTCTCCCTCTGCCGGCGACGCGACGCATACTCAAAGCCGCATATCGGTACTGATGTATCCGTACCATGTACGGGAGTTCCATTATCAGAGGCCATGGCATGCTACACTCCCCCATGCCTACCCAGCCTCAGAGGGAGGCTGTGAGGAGGGTGAGCCCAAATATCCGCGGTCGTGTCGTACGACGGAGGGGTGCCGATCGCCCAGAAGTCCACCGAGAAAGCCGCTGCCCTATTCGTACTCTCCCTTGCTTTCGTCTGGTGTACACTACATAGGCGGCAATGATGCGGTGAGAGAGTGTTCGGTACTTCAAACCCAACCCAGTGACTGAACGGGGTGCTGCCTATTGGATATTGACATGGGCCATGGGGGTGTGTAATCGCCTCTAGATCCGGTGTCAAGAGCCGGGAGCGGGGACGGGGAGGGACGGGATGAAAAAGGCGGTGTTGACTGATCCAGGGTCGAAAGGGAAAATGGGTTTCGAACCTTCAAATCCATGATTGACTGACCCCTTGCGGCCTTACCCAAGGAAAGGCTGCAAAGCGATGATGGACTTTGACAAACCCTAGGCCACGATACATTCTCCCCATTCGGTGGTAAAGGGCAACTACCATCGTCCCGACCTTCTGCAAAGCTGAGGAGAAACATATTTACCTTTTCATGTCTTTCTCTATCTCTTGCTGGCCCGGGGAGTGTCCCCGACGTGACAGGGACAAAAAAGCAAAGTCCCAACTTGTGGCATCCCAAGACAGAGTTATTATGCGATGCGTTTGTTTGATGGCATCATTGGCTATCGAGCCGCAAAATGCTCGAGCTATCCAAAACCCTCCTACTGCGTGTCTCATTGGCACATGTGTATCGCGTACGTAAATCACGGCCAATAGGGCACCATGCCGTCAAGTTGGTGTCTTGAGGCCCGTCGTCGTCGCTGCATTCCATGGGCGCCTCTGTTTTCCGAATCCCGCATGGCAAGAGACTAGGCTAGCCATCTCTGCCCGGCCGGAGAGGGCGGCACCGTTGCAAACTGCATCCTCCAAACTTGTTTGCCCCCTTCCGATCCCAAGGTTACAAGGGGTTTAGACACCGCTATCGTCTGCGCAATGCCGGAAAAGACGAAGACGAACGCGCGCGGGAGTTGTGTGACATGAGATTGTGTGGCTTGTTCCTCAAAGCCAAGGGAAAGAAACGGTCGCTTGAACTACCGATCTCAGGCGTGACAAAGATGGCCAGGGAGCTCCCGGTCCCTTGCCATGTGGCATTGGAGAGATTGGTCCCGCGATTTCCCATCGGGTCTGCAATCTAGCAGCATCCGTGGGCATGCATCACCAAGTACGAGGAAAGCAAGCCGCCTCCGATTTGCCGTTGCCGCACCCTGTCTTGTCTTCTTGCGCGGCTTCCCTGGTTTCACGCTTGATCGGCCGAGCCGGTAGCCGGTGGCCGGCCGCACGGCGCAAGATTGGCGATGGCTCCCGATGAGGTTGAACAGTTCTCCTCCAGAGAATCCAATGGCTCCAGGCCCAACCGGTCGGTCGGTCGTTGGGGGCCGTACCTGTCAAGCTGGTATTGTATCCGCATATGACGGATGATAGGTACTCGTTGGCCAACCGGATGAGGTGTCGGTGACAATTGTTGACTCGAGGGGAAGACAAGTCGTTGCGAAATGTCAGCTGCTGGCAGCCCCTTGTAGCTCAACGTCTCTCTACCTCATAATAAGCGGCGTCAGCTCTCTGCTTTTTCCCCAGCCCGGCCTACCATGTGCCAGCGTACCAGCCTAACCCCAGGTGTGCCCGGCAAGCCCCCCAGCCCAACCCCAAATCCTCCTTACGACCAGGGCCCTGGAAACATCGTGTTCGAATTTCCGTGTGGCTTGCCTAGCCACGTGGCAATCTCCACCACTGAGACTGAGCCAGCCCGAATCTGGTATCATTTCTGGATTTTGTGTTCTGCCCGAAGCTTTCCACAGTGTTTGCTACCGTTGGGCGGGCTAAGAAAC